TTTTATCTGTATTTAATAATAAATCAGTCAGAAAATCTGAGAACTCTGATAAAAATTGAGAATAAGGGCCTGGAGGACGATAAATAAGTAGAGGTTTTTCTGATTTTCATCTTGTATGAGAAAGACTGAGGGACAAAGTCTCAAACAAATTATAACCAATATTTAATTTAGCATTAATTAATAGTTCTGACTTACAGTACAAACTGCAGCTACTCCTCCACCACGACCTGTTGTTCTAGGAACATGAAAATTTAAATAATTATCAGGAGTGGATTCATTTATACTAACAAAATCCTCCTGTTGTAACCAGGTTTCAGTCAGACAGAATCAATCAATATGATGATCAGATATCAGATCATTAGAAGAAAGAGATCTGATGTTTAATAAACCACACCTAATAGTTTTATTGTTTTGTTCTGGTAAAGTAACTGTGTTTATTTTTACAAGATTTTTATGATTTACATTTCTAGAGTTTTTATATTTATTTAATTTGGTCTGTGGGGCTGACACAATGTTAATGGGGGTTTGGGTTGGTAATAAAGGAGAAGCAGCAGAGAGGTGTGTAAGACTACATCTCTGTTTCCTAGTCTGGACCCTGGATTGTCAATAAGTCCTGTGGTCAACAAAGTCAGCTGGAGTCTTAGAGAGGAGAGCAGCTCCAGTCAGGGTGGGATGGAGGACATCTCTCTGTGTCAGACCAGGTTTCCCCAGAAACAACTCCAGTTATCCACGGAGCTGAAGTTGTTTTCAGAACACCATTTGGATGCCCAGTGGTTAAATGAAGACATGGGACTAAACATGTCATCACTGGTCAGGTTAGGGAGGGGGCCAGAGGAAACTACAGAGTCCAACATGGTCTTTGCACAGTTACGGACCGAAGCAACGTTAATTTTAGTGACCTTCGATTGACGTAACAAAGTGTCATTACCACTGATGTGAATCACAATCTTACGATACCTAGCATTAGCATTAGCCAATAGTTTCAGATAGGGTTTTAAGTCGCCCGCTCTGGTTCCTCGAATCGTGGCTGTTGGAGTCGCTAGATCCACGTTTCGGACTATGGAGCTGCCAATAACCAGGGTCTGTTTCTCGACCGGAGTGTCGCTGAGTGGGGAGAAGCGCTTAGAAATGTCAACAGGTTGATGGTCAGGAAGTTTAGCTTTAGCACTCTGCTTTTTCCGAGCCGTCACCCAGCTAGCTCGGGGTGGTGGCCTCACAGGATCCACCGTGGGACCGCTGACAAGAGAGGCTTCTTTTGGCGGGTCAATACTAGCCTAACCTAACCTGGGTAGTGGCAGAAGAAAACAAAATTTTGAATACAGGCAGTCAGAACAGTTTTTTCTGCAGGGGGCTCATCCTCAGAGACAGCAGGAGAAGGTTAGTTATTCTGGAGGGGCTCAGAGTAGAGCCGCTGCTCCTCCACGTCCAGAGGAGCCAGTTGAGGTGGTTCTTCTGATGAAGATGACCCCTGGATGCTCCCCTGGGAATGTTTCCCAGCTGATTCACAGACGTCATCAGGTCTTTAGTTGGATCTCCTAAACTGTGGACCAGCTGCCCCCCCCCCCCCACATTTCTTCAAAACACCAAAAATCAATATCAGCAAAAACGATTGCAACATAAACATAAATACCTAAAGAAGTTTCAGAACTAAGTCTTATACTGTATTTTTCCAAATCTCGAACATCTATTTTTATTAGTGAATAAATAAACTCAATGATCTGATTAGTGAGCTGTCAGTATGTTTACCCCGAACTCACTTTGTTCTTGACATTATTTAACTCACCAGAATGTCCATAAAATGTTACAGGTTTAAAATCTTCTCCAACCAGTCGGCTCTGGAGTCTCTGGCAGTAAGTGTGTTTTAGTTCATGATTCTGTTTGTCTCTCAGAAGCATCAGTGACAGTTTCTCATCTCTCTGCAGCTGATTCCTCTGCAGGCGCCTCTGAAAACGATGCTGCAGATGTCTGTGGTTCCTCTAATCAATAGTAAGATGATGATTTTGATTGTTTTAATTGGGAAATCTTTGAAGCTGCTCTGACTCATTCTGTTGTTTCTGACTTCAGACTGGACCAAGAGGGGAGTCCGGATCCCTCTGGCTGAAGGGATGGACTTTATAGAGGAGGTAGTAGAATATCACAACGTGAGTGTGTTTTAAATGTTTATAGCAGTTTACAGATGTTCACAGATGTTATTAAGATGAGACAAGCGCCACTCTTTGATCTCTGCAGGGTTTCATTGTGATTGGAGCAAATCTTCATTTCAGCAAAGGACTGACAGAGATGATGGTGGGGAGCGAGACACAAAACCAGCAACAATAGTTCCACTGAGTGTTAACACAAAGAAGCTACATCCATCAGCCATAACATTATGACCACCCTGACAATATCTATCTAGTTTCTCTCACCACACAAACTGAACAGAGTATTCAGAACCAGGTCAAAGAACATAATGAGGGAACAGCTCTGGGGTCAGATTTATAAAGCTTGCGTACGCACAAAACCAGCCCACAAACTTGCATACGCCACTTTTCCTGTCAAGGCTGTGATTTATAAAACTCAAACTTGATGTGAAAATGTGTGGACCCTCACAGGTCTGACCCTCACAGATCTGACCCTCACAGGTCTGACCCTCACAGATCTGACCCTCTGACCCTCACAGGTCTGACCCTCACAGATCTGACCCTCACAGGTCTGACCCTCACAGATCTGACCCTCTGACCCTCACAGGTCTGACCCTCACAGCTCTGACCCTCACAGCTCTGACCCTCACAAGTCTGACCCTCAAAGATCTGACCCTCTGACCCTCACAGATCTGACCCTCACAGGTCTGACCCTCACAGATCTGACCCTCTGACCCTCACAGGTCTGACCCTCACAGATCTGACCCTCACAGATCTGACCCTCACAGATCTGACCCTCTGACCCTCACAGATCTGACCCTCTGACCCTCACAGATCTGACCCTCACAGGTCTGACCC